TTCTTTTTTTAACATTTCAAAAAAAAAAAAAAAAAACCGGGGGGGTACCTGGGGGGGTCCCGGGGTTTCCGTGCCCCCCCCCCCCCCCTTGATAGGCCTTCTTTTAAGCAAACAACCTACAATATTCAGGTGGCGAAAACGCCATGACAATATCTTGGCCGTAAAAGCCATTGTTGAAAAGCTCACTTTTTTAAAATTTGTTTTTTTGGGAAGTATTTTCGTCAATGGCTCTTGTCTTTAGTTAATATGGGCCTTCATGCCGCGACAGGAGGCGATAATACGACTGAGCCCGCTGATACACGAGGGAGAGCAGCGGTATAAACCATATATAGTCGGCGATCGCCGGATGGTGACCCCCCCTTTGAAAAATCCTGGCTACGCCCCTGAAAAGTAAAAAAAAACAGGCCTTCAGTAATCGCACGTTTGATCGAGTACGACCGTCGACCTCACGAAGTTTCAGCGAGCGGAGCGAACTTTTTAGGCCTCGAAGCGGCCAAGCGAGCAACCAAGAAGGCCTCGGGGCTCAGGCATTATCCTATGAATAAATTTCCTTCCCTTATTTCCCTTTCAACTTCTTTCCGTCGCCCCGAAGTCCTTCGCGAGGCCCTGCGATTCACGTATTTCTAGCACGGAATAGTTTCAAAACTACAACAGGTAACGGTAACTTGAAACCTAATAAATGTTAATAAGGCAAGTAGAAAGAAAGCATGCTTTGTGTTTTAGTAAACTGGAACAACCGAATCAGCTTAGCACAAGAGATAGCCCGTACATGTGACCTGAATGAATGTTCTAAACAACGATTAATTAAAACGCAAGGACAGAGATTATCAGACGCGCTCATAATAATGTTAATTAAATGCTTCAAAACCACTCAGCAGAGCAATCTTCCTTCTTGAATCTGGAAAAGCCTAAGTGAGCAAGCAATTGAGTTATAGGAACAAACGTTTGTTGGTATTAGAAAAAGCACTTTTTGATATTTAGCCAAGGTGGCTCACAAACGTTTTCCAGAGTCTTAAGATGGGACTGCGGCAACGTCATTGAATTATTTTTAATTAAACAACACTGTCTTATTTTAATCTACAATAAAGGTACTAAATAAATGCCTATATTTTTTGTAAAAATTTGACGCTTCAAAGAAAAGATGTCGAGCCTTTTCTCTGTCCCTTATTAGAGAGATAAAGATGCACGTTTACAACAAACGGCAAACGTCACATTCAAGTTGAGAATTTCTCAGAATAGAAAATAAGCAGATAAAAACTGTCCAGAACAATTTGT